ACCATACATTAAATGTCAGATTTCTTTTATTCGTGTAAGTTTAGTAGATAACTGTAAATCTAAAAATGATGCAAAAAAAACAAGTGGCATAAAAAAAACGCTCAAGAAACAGATAAACAGTTCAAACTAGACATATTTATGGCTGGGTAATATATTTAATTGTACACTCAATCACAGTTTTAACTTTCAAAGATTATTAAAATAAGATAATCAAGTTTCACAATAATTTGCTCCTTTTTGTCTTGTTTTAGAAATCCTGTGCATCTTCCCCTTCACAATTGTGCCTGCACCCATTCCTATAATACAAAAAAGCCCTAGAGAGCAGGCATTTTTAGCTCAGCTCAAACCCGAAGGACAAAAAGAGTCTTTGAGCAATGGGAGAGGATAAAACAGCTGCTCGGAAACATTTTGGCTCCAAGTAATCTGAAAAGTAGATGCTGACACAAAAAGTTGTCAGGGCTCTGTGTGCGGGCAGGTGGAGAGGAGGATCCAAACGCAGGACTCGAACACTGAATAGTAACTCGAAAAAACCTCAGCTATATTCACTGGCAGAAACTGCACAATGGTACTGAACATGAACACACAGGCATAATCCAAAGGTACGACACAACACCGAGCACGGGAAAACACAGGGCTTATATACACAGGGTGGTAATGAGGGAATGGGCAACAGGAGGGAGACACAGCTAGAAGAGATCAGGGCTGACGAGACAGGGGGAGCAAAGCTGCACACACGAACATAAGACAAAGACTTTCACAATAAAACAGGAAACATGAATCACTCAAAGACACAGACTCAACACAGAGAGGCAGACAGAAAATAATACATGAAACTCAAACAATACACGAGACAACAAATCCTGACCACGAATAAACAGAAAGATAGAATTCTAATAATAATCGACAAAGCACAAGAGGAACAAAACGATCATTCAAAACATAAACCAAAACATAATAAACTCAAAATGCTGCGTCGAACCGACCCAGAACCGTGACAACAATAATACAATTTGTGCTCAAAGTTCAAATAAAGCCCGATGTTTTAAAAGTTAATAGATAATCATGTTAAATAATCCAGATCTCAGCACTGACCAAAATATTCATGATCACAGCTTCTGTACAAACCAATGAGCAGCCTTTATTGACACTGAGCACAGCACCCAGCTTTCCTCATATGTACACGACAACGCAGAGGAGATAGTGTGGCAATTAACAAGCTAGCAGCTCTGTCGCAGCAACAGAGTGAATGTAAGGTGTCCAAGTGACTCGGGCCAGGAACCAACAAGCTACAAAACAGACTACATATGAGAATTTATTTAACCATTCAAACCAATATCATTAGACTGAATGAGTCCATCACTATCTGGTGGCCTGTAGCATTTTGCACACGCTAAACTCTCTAAATAAAGCATTCACGCTTTCGTGAAAGACCTATCCAGTTTGCTAACACCGATCATCCTCATCTGGCACCTTTTCAAGCAGCCACGCACCCTGATTGGCTTATTGACTCAATCCAGATAAGAGGTGCAATCAGCAATAATATCATTCATGTCATCCTTATTTTAAGCTAAAACCCTGAACGTTTTCCCTTAATATGTTCCCTCTGTGCAAATTCTAATAAGGTAGGCATCACCTTTACAACATAAAGCAACGCTATCATCATTTACCATTTTAGATGGAAGACATGTTCCCAATGTTTTCAGGGATCTCATTAGCATATCTGTAAAGTGCAAAAGCTTGTGCCGCTAAATAACTTGATCGCAATTCAGAAAAGTCCTCTTCCCTTCAGGGGACAGCAGAATTTCAATGAATATAGATGAGAGTTCAGGACTGAATCCAAGCAGCAGGGCATCGTTCGTGTACATGTAATTCCCCGTTCCTGGACACAAAATCTTCTGTGACAGGGAAACGTGGGGAAATGACAGATGCGGTGTTATTGGGTATTAGCCTTGGGCTGACCTGACTACAGTTGGACGATTGTCAGTGCAATTATCATTGGAAGTAACAAAGCCATCCATGACTAACCGCCTCTTTGTATCCACCTGTTACTGTCTGGCATCCATTACCCTCAAACAATTAGCTTGTCCATCACCTTATCCCTGCTCTCAGAGCAGACAAGAGTGGAAAACATGACATCCTCTTTTAGTTTTGCTCCATGTTCCTGTAGAGCACAAGCCTTCGTTTACCTGGCTAAGCCTTAATTTGTTTTTGCCGAACATTTTTATTCCAGAAAGAAATGATTAGTATACAGATTTATACGCCTGTACAAATTAATCCAGGAGCTTAATGTGCGCATGGCCAGAGTGTGCGCATCAGTGCCGTAGGACGGGTATTAACATCTCAGATAATCCGTCTGCTTTCACTGAAGTAACGCTGCCTATTTCAAAAGTTAACTCCTTCTCTTTGCAAATCTCAGTGGGATAAGAGAAGATCATTATCCCGCAAGCCGATGTAGGAAAAGTTTGTTGATGAAGATGAAGTTCATTGAAAGTAGGACAAAAGTAATTAGATACAGCTATTTTTCATTCACACCATTTCATGTATCCGCCTGCTTTCAGATCCCGGCGCTTTTGTGATCACTGTGGCCATCTCATTTAAAAAGCATGTAACGAAAACAGCAAACTCTCCTTTTTTCTCTATTGCTCTTGATCCCGTCACCTTCATTAAAACTTTGATTGCAATAATCTCTCCTTTCTTACTTAAGCTTTTCATATTTTAGTGCGCCTGAAGTAAGAGTCAGCAGTGCATTATTAGATGTTTAACAAGAATAAATTCAATTTCGCTGGAGAAAAAAAGCAGAATATAATCTTAATAGCTTTCTTTTCTCCGCCTAATCATCCCTCACAAAGTGATGTTTGTTTATTCGGCAGTGAATTAAGCTCATAGTTATTGGTTATGCACACTTCAGTTGATAAATACAATAAGCCTCAACCAGGAATTTCTGTAAACGCTGAATTAGCATCGGCCCAGAAATGCACGAGCTCTTAAATCAAATCTGCAAACTCTCTCTGCTGGTATAAATGTGTCAAAAGGCGCTGTAGTTGATAAATGGTTTCACTGAATGCCCAGTGTGAAGGAGATTTGACCTCTAAAGCATGGGTGGCTGCTGAACTCTAATTAAAAAAGAATATATTAGGAAAACGCTCCCTCTCAGTCAGATCCCTGGAGATATTTTAGCAACTCCATGGTCCAAGGGGCTGATTATTAAACTAAGAAATGTAGAATTTAATTCCCGTGCCCACAGTGCCTTATTGTCACCAGTCCCTTTAGTCTCCTCTGCTTCCTTAAAGTTGTCAAAGTCCTAATTGGCAAGTTGGAGAAATGGTATCTAATTCAGTGGAAAGTGGTTTAAAATTGTCCTGAATCTAACTGGCCAATGAGCTGCTGCCTCATTGGTTTTTACGAGGACATGACAAATGAGAGCCTGAAAGTCAAGTAAGACTGATTTACAGGAAGAAAACTCTCCATAATACATTAGAGACGGCGGAGAGATCCGGGAGGTCAAACAGAAGGATGGTTTGCATTTCAAGTCTTCTATTCTGCCTCATGGCTCTCTCTCTCTTTTGACAGACGACAGACCTCGCCTTTTCCATTACGGATCATGGCGTCCGTGGGACTATTTCCTGTCTAACATGCCCTTGAGCAGATGTAAAGGGTCAAAAGGTCAGAGAACAAAAAGGGCAATGTATATAGTGCTACAAAGAAGAGGAATCCCATTATGTACAGTGAAATATTCAGCTTTTCCTTAAGGGTAATTCATTTTTTATAGCGCAAAAATTATGTATAGCATACCATATAGCAAAGCTCATCAGACAGCATGCATACAAAGGAGAACCTTCTCTGAGATTTAAGCAGAAACAAAAATGAAAACACAGCAGATGAAAATGTATGTGTGGCTTTGTTTTGCTGCATTTCGTCTGTATTTGGAGTCACGATCAGCGATACAGGGTAATGTTGCGTTTGTCGAGAGCTCTAAAACCTCCCCTCTGTTACATTAGACACACAATCTGGTCTCCTTATTAGTGAAACGCACATCTGCTGTCTTTCACTGTGATGGCACCAGGTGTCTTCTTGTCCTCCATCTGTTTAATTATTCAGTTTCTGCCTCAAATCTCTCCAGGTCGACAGTACCTGCAGCAGAGCGCTCCCTGGGCAGCCATCTCACAGGCAGTGACAGGATCTCAGTCATAAACCTGCTCTTCTGCTCGTGTAATAAATGAGAAAGCACATACGCTGCAAATCCCTGTATCGGGTTGGCTTTTGCCATGTTGCTAATGTCCGATCTGGGAATAATAATGTTGCTAATTGCATACTGTGACAGCCCAGGGTTTGTGCAGAGAAAGATTCATTTTACAAGAAGGGGAGGGAAACACAGACTGATATTATAGGGCTTATAACTCTTGGCAGAGCTCTTTGCACTGAGTCTAGTGTGAACTTGCGGCAATCCAAAAAAAGC